CGAACACAATTTATCGCTCGAGAATTAAACATGAGTCTAGATCCGTAACAAAAGCAGTGAGCGTTGTATAGATCTAAACCTTTTAAGATGTGCTTTTCCCGCTTACCTCTACGAGCCTGCTCAGCTTCTTGTCAAGCTGCTACCCCATGGGCCCTACAGAAATTCATGAAACATCTTACAGATCACTTTGTTCCATAGGTCCTAAACTTTCAGATTTTTGGATTCACTTTTCACTGAAATACCTCTTACTTACCTCACCATAATCTTTATTTACGCACTATTATGCTCTACTTTATCTTAACTACCTACGCCTTTATTAAAGCTAAAACTTGCTCTTTGTTCATATTTGTTGCTTGCCCAAAGTCTGGTTGCTTTGATTAAAAACACAACAACACCAATGTTTGAACAAAGCTATATGTTCATCGAAAACATCATAGTTTCCATGCTCAGACCAATATGGTTAGCATTAAACATTGCGAATGTATACTATCATTCCAAGGAGTCTCCAGTTCCTTCTTCTCTATATCTTGTAAATGCACTTTCAATGATGTTTTATCAGTAACTGTACTTGATACCATTTTGCATCTTCCCAGGGAATTCTCCTTTTCCTGAAATAGCGTACAATCACGTGGCGGCATAACACTCACACAGATATACGCTGTCCACTGCTTGACCGTAACTATCAGCAGGAAACGGAACGAAGTCTGGGTTGTCGCTCAACTTTGATGGTGACCTTAGTAAACAGTTTACAATTTAACGTTTGTGAGAATCTGTTCTGATTGCTTGTACAATCAATGATACTTCAGGATTGTAATTTATAACATTACTGATGGTGCCTGTGAAAATGGTATGCATTTCTTGTAAACTTGACCGTTTATACGAAATATAGGTTACTTTTATTACTCCGTCTATTAGGTAGTTTCGTGTTTGGTTTCTATAGTTTAGAGTCACCGGATGCAGTTCTCTACTTACTTATTAAGTACTTTTTCTGCCAATTTATACTGCAATGTAGGTTTTCAAGATTAATTTTTAGAGTCTTGAGTTAAGGTTAGGATTAGAGTTAAATTTAATATCAGAAGTTAGGATTATGGTTAGAGTTAGGAGTAGTTAGGAGAATAGTGTCAGAAATATCAGTGGATCTCAAAGTACTGTAGTGCACCTTCAATGTTTTCAGTTTTTGTTTCAATGTGAACTTGTAGTATTGGCGCTACACCATGCCGTGCTCTTTGGTGGGTGCTATGCCTTCATGCCCCTTCGCTGTGCTGCCTACAAGCAAACTCTCTCAGCCCACTAGTCCGCATCACTCCAGATAAGTTGTGCAATATTCTTATTTATTGAATGGGATATTTCATCTGTGGTAAAAGTTGTAACTCTTATCAGGGCACCCTACCAAACGGTTTAAGCCGTTTTATTTCGAGTTCATTAAATGGTACTTACATGTTAGGTGGATTACTGACTGGGTTATTAAGGGAAGTCTTTAGCAAGTACAGTTAATTGAAGTCTACCTTAAGTGCAACCTAGCTACTTGCAATTGGTGAGCCCCACACTGACTTTTCTCCATCATCTCGACCCAAAAGTTTTACTCCAATTTTTTTTTTCACTTGGTGTCTCGTTTTACTTTTTACCTCGCCCAGTTTTACCACTGCTCTTGTGTTGGTGTTATTTTGCTTTGTGTATGTTACATTGCCTAGCTACTTATAGTGCCATGACCTACAGTCACCTGGATGAATGGGTATGTCGCACATTGTACGATTTCACTATAGATCATCTTTGTATTGACTTGGGGATATTCTTACAACACATAAGCTACAACTATGCGATGTAATATCAAGCGTTCAATACCTCTAAGTGTATTTCTCAACGATTGTGCGATTTTCTTGCAACTGAGTTCTGATCGGTTATTCGAGGTCGCTGTGGTTGTTACTATGATTGCTCCAATTCAAAGACAGATTTCGTCTTTTTCAGTTGGTTCAGAATGCAAAAGAAAAAAGCTATTCGAGTCAGTCGATGTCCGCTCCCCACCTAGCTCAATCAATGTACGTAGTAAGAGTCAATAGTGAATGTTGCACTACCTTGGTGTTTATAAGTTTCC